TTTTCGATTAGGAGTCGTATATTTAAATAACTCACCATGACTAGTGTTTTGCATTATAAAGTATATTTTTATGAAGGTCAACACACTGCAATTTAGGTAAATATTTTCCATTTCGTTATTTCATTATTTCGCTTTCCAGCATTTACAGGAAACGCTTCATTCTAGAAAATGCTGTCGCAAAACGGTTGAAAATAATAAATGTAACAGCAGAATACGTCCTAGCACAGTCACTCTACTAGGAGAGTGACTGTGGTCCTAGTAATAAACTAAGTGACTTCTAAAGACTGAATTTTGTTTGCGAACTTCGTATTAGTTATAAACCAGCGTTAGCTTCACGTTTATGTCACACCATGGAAACAGCCAAAAACATGTTGCTTGTTTTTGAGCGGAGCGGATCGCCAACCAGCCAACCAGCCTACCGGCTTGTCAAACATTTCTGCCATTCTGGAACTCAATCTTGGTCATATACATACTTTATGTTCAAGCTTGTTACATTGAGCATCCTATACATGCAACTTTGACATGACCTTTTTTTTACAAATCAGATATAAAATGGCTGACTGGTTGCCATTTTGTTTATAAATAGAATAAATAAATAGAATCATGAATTTAAGCAAGCTAACTGTCAGAATCCTGCCAATACACTGTTTAGTAGATCTAATCTTGTGATGTGTACAAATCATCAATGTTGTGTTTTCACTCAATTTTACCGCAGTTCTCAAGAATATTTATACAGATTGATACTTGTGTCTGCTTATGTCAAGAGAAATTATAAATCTAGCAACAAAAGTATTAGAATTTGCCATTTCATAAAAAGCTGTATCACCAATTATTCCAAAACTTATCAGCACTCATTCGAATGTTTGAATTTCCCTTATATGGGTAAAATATATGTCGCCAGCATTGACGCATTCAAGATTATTGGCACAACATTCTAAGAAATCTTTTTATTTATGGAAAATAGAATGCCATCACTGAACACAAATGTTTGTAGAGAGCAACATGATTTTTGCTGCCATTTCAGGCCATAATCTCTCGTTAAATTATTACAGGAAAAAGATGTGTAATAAAAACGTTAATCCGAAAATATCACAAAGTATGTACTCTGAGTGTATGGAGTCTCATTGACCTTCACTCCTCCACGTTGGTCGATACAAACTCCATACTCTTCATTAAACTTTGCAGTATGCTCATGATAACCTCATAATATTGTTGGATTATATTTACCACATTCATATTTAATGTGAAATGTTAAAGTGTTTAAACTAAGCTATTATTGAAATGACAGCAAATACAAATATATCAATGCGTGCATCATATGCTGAATTTGTTGACACTAAGATATTCTTACATGCATAAGTTTGCCAAAATGAACCACCTCTACACCAATTCGTGGTTACTGGTCTATCTATTAACCTGGAAGATCCAGACAACTTTCGGGCAGAGCATACAATGAAAAAATGTTGACATTTCTGATGTCAAACTATGTAATATGCATTTCTGATCTGTTGTCTATTCCGTCACACTTTGGAGGTACACATGTTATGCATATGATAAAAAAGTAATAGTCCATGGACACAAATTTAATGGCAACTAAGATTTCAGGAAGTCCAATGACTTGTATTTGCTCTGCAAATAATGTCCCATTTTGTTTCATGAATGGCGTTCAATTTTCTACTGATTGACATAACCATGGATGTTGGAACAGTGGATCTCATCAGCCATTTGCAACCATGGATGTTGGAACAGTGGATCTCATCAGCCATTTGCAACTATGGATGTTGGAACAGTGGATCTCATCAGCCATTTGCAACCATGGATGTTGGAACAGTGGATCTCATCAGCCATTTGCAACCATGGATGTTGGAACAGTGGATCTCATCAGCCATTTGCAACCATGGATGTTGGAACAGTGGATCTCATCAGCCATTTGCAACCATGGATGTTGGAACAGTGGATCTCATCAGCCATTTGCAACCATGGATGTTGGAACAGTGGATCTCATCACCATTTGCAACCATGGATGTTGGAACAGTGGATCTCATCAGCCATTTGCAACCATGGATGTTGGAACAGTGGATCTCATCAGCCATTTGCAACCATGGATGTTGGAACAGTGGATCTCATCAGCCATTTGCAACCATTGATGTTGGAACAATGGATCTCATCATTTGCAACCATGGATGTTGGAACAGTGGATCTCATCATTTGCAACCATGGATGTTGGAACAGTGGATCTCATCAGCCATTTGCAACCATGGATGTTGGAACAGTGGATCTCATCAGCCATTTGCAACCATGGATGTTGGAACAGTGGATCTCATCAGCCATTTGCAACCATTGATGTTGGAACAGTGGATCTCATCATTTGCAACCATGGATGTTGGAACACTGGATCTCATCATTTGCAACCATGGATGTTGGAACAGTGGATCTCATCATTTGCAACCATGGATGTTGGAACACTGGATCTCATCATTTGCAACCATGGATGTTGGAACAGTGGATCTCATCATTTGCAACCATGGATGTTGGAACAGTGGATCTCATCATTTGCAACCATGGATGTTGGAACACTGGATCTCATCATTTGCAACCATGGATGTTGGAACAGTGGATCTCATCATTTGCAACCATGGATGTTGGAACAGTGGATCTCATCATTTGCAACCATGGATGTTGGAACAGTGGATCTCATCATTTGCAACCATGGATGTTGGAACAGTGGATCTCATCATTTGCAACCATGGATGTTGGAACAGTGGATCTCATCATTTGCAACCATGGATGTTGGAACACTGGATCTCATCATTTGCAACTACGGATGTTGGAACAGTGGATCTCATCATTTGCAACCATGGATGTTGGAACAGTGGATCTCATCATTTGCAACCATGGATGTTGGAACACTGGATCTCATCATTTGCAACCATGGATGTTGGAACAGTGGATCTCATCAGCCATTTGCAACCCATTGAAAATACAACTCAATATTTTTTCTATAAATCAATAATATTTGTGTTTTCATTGCACAGACCATTTGTACAGAGTCTTTTCCCTGAAGATGTGAGTGGAATTCAAAAAGGAAGACCCTCTACAGCTGGTAGTAAAATTAAGGTACTGTCTGCATGTTTTGGTTTCCTGCAGATTCTGTCCATTGTGGGATGACTGCAACAAAAATGAAATATTAGCATTGGCCCATTGTGCGAGTGACATCATCAAATATTATATCTTTTAACTTTGACTTTTTACAGAAACAAGCCAACAAGTTAGTTAACGAATTAATGCAATGTACGCCCCATTATATACGGTGTATTAAACCTAATGAGACAAAGAAAGCACATGACTGGGAAGAAAGAAGGTAATAGTCCACTATTATTAAGCATTTTATGTATCTTATGACAGACCCTGGTCATTCCATATTATGGCAACCCACTTTTTACCTACCATATTCGTCCTATTCAGTGCAAATCCGATTGCTTTGATAATACATATATAGGTACTACATGTGGACCTCTCTCAGATTTGTTCATTTCATGATGATATCTTTAATTCTCTAATTTTGGTGAATATTTTTGCAAATTTTGGTAAAAAGTGATATTTTCGACTTCATGTTAAAAACCACAAGTCCGATTGCTTTGATATTACATATATAGGTACTACGTGTAGACCTCTCTCAGATTTTTTCATTTTGTGATAATATCTTTAATTCTCTAATTTTGATGAATATTTTTGTCATTTTTGGTAAAAAGTGATATTTTCGACTTCTTGTTAAAAACCACAAGTCTGATTGCTTTAATACTATACATATTGTATCAGTTTTTATTAATTGAACTGTGCGTTGCTAACAGCGGAGCTATCTCAGCCGACAGGCTGCTTGTTTAAGTTGGTCAGATTAGTTTGTTGCCTAGCAGAGACTTTGACAGCTTAGACATTGGTGACTGTTGAAGTGTTAGTGGAAGCCCAGACATTGGCAATTGGTGAAAACTTAGCTTAAAGCCCAGATATTAGCATCTGGTGAAACCTAAGATTAATCCTAGATATTGATAGCAAGGGAAATTTAAGATTAAGTTGAAACACTAGGATGTGGTAAAAAGGTTAGCTTAAGCCATGAGAGTAACAACTGGTGTAGGATTAGCTTGAGCCAAGACATTGTAACTGGTGGAACAGTGGCGACTTAATAATAACTTTATTGCATCCTCAGAAATACAATGTTTCTATCAGTTATTAGCGATAAAGATTAGTTGTGATAACTACTACTACAAAAAGAAAGTTAGTTGTTAAGAGGATAAAGCAAGTGTTACATATCAAATGTCATTCCTTGATTTGACTGTTGTGTAGACCAACAAGTACAAACTGAGATGTTACCAAGCTTTAAGTAATTTAATGGAATGTATTGCCGGAGTCACTGGTGTTTATTAGTGGATGTCATGCCCAGGTCAAAACTGGTGCATTGGATTAAGGCGAAGTCAATGTTTATCAACACAAATGTCACACATGCACAGCAGAACAACCACCACCATTTCAGCCCAGATATTGATTCTTTGTTACAGAGTTCTTCATCAAGTGGAATATTTAGATATTGATTCTTTGTTATAGAGTTCTTCATCAAGTGGAATATTTAGATATTGATTCTTTGTTATAGAGTTCTTCATCAAGTGGAATATTTAGATATTGATTCTTTGTTATAGATTTCTTCATCAAGTGGAATATTTAGATATTGATTCTTTGTTATAGAGTTCTTCATCAAGTGGAATATTTAGATATTGATTCTTTGTTACAGAGTTCTTCATCAAGTGGAATATTTAGATATTGATTCTTTGTTATAGAGTTCTTCATCAAGTGGAATATTTAGATATTGATTCTTTGTTACAGAGTTCTTCATCTAGTGGAATATTTAGATATTGATTCTTTGTTACAGAGTTCTTCATCAAGTGGAATATTTAGGGCTGAAGGAAAACATAAGAATAAGGCGTGCTGGATTTGCATACCGACGAGATTTTCAAAAATTTTTAAGAAGGTGAGTTTTTTTTTACTGAAATGGAAAAATATAGTTAAGAATAAAATAATAAAATATAGTATTTTTAATAATTCATGATGGCTAGATCTAATATTGGTCTAATATGTTACGTAGCATTATTACTACATTATGCTTCATTCATAAATCGATCTTTGACAGATATATCATAATAACGATCAGACTGCATTAGCAAACATAAGATTGAAATTTTACGAAGAGACTTCAATTTGATTTTTTGATTTGATGGTGTTAGCTGACAATGGTCATTTGTGTCATCAAATTGTTTCTTTTGTTTTGAGATGTGTTTTTCTTTCAAAGTGTCACACATTTCACTGACACTATGTTTGAATTTGTTTAATTTTATGAAAATGTTAAGGCAAGATGTAATTATGATTTCTGATGGACTGCATAAATAATTAATATCATATGGTAACAATTGTTTGTAGATACGCCATTGTTACAAGTGAAACATGGCCACAGTGGCGTGGTGATGTACGGTCTGGGATTAAACACATCATGAATGCTGTACATATGGAAGCAGATCAGTGGCAGCTTGGTAAAAGCAAGATCTTCATCAAAGCTCCAGAATCTGTAAGAAATTCTTGGATGACCAGAATAAGACATAAAAATAGCATAGTGGTTCGTACAGGACTGGAATGTGCTGGAAAGTTCTGGAATTTGAAAGATGTCTGGGAAGTCCTGGAAATTGGTGAAAACTTAGCAGGAGCCCAGACATTTGCAATTGGTGAAAACTTAGCAGGAGCCCAGACATTAGCAATTGGTGAAAACTTAGCAGGAGCCCAGACATTAGCAATTGGTGAAAACTTAGCAGGAGCCCAGACATTAGCAATTGGTGAAAACTTAGCAGGAGCCCAGACATTAGCAATTGGTGAAAACTTAGCAAGAGCCCAGACATTAGCAATTGGTGAAAACTTAGCGGAAGCCCAGACATTAGCAATTGGTGAAAACTTAGCAGGAGCCCAGACATTAGCAATTGGTGAAAACTTAGCAAGAGCCCAGACATTAGCAATTGGTGAAAACTTAGCAAGAGCCCAGACATTAGCAATTAGTGAA